AGGTGAATTGTCAAATAGGTACTCCTGCCATATGTTTACCGGAGAACAAAGTACGGGATGCTGCAGTGTTCGAGATTATTGGAATAGATTTAGCTGGCCCTTTACACCTCAAATTTAACCAAAAAGTGAGGATCGTACTGTATACTTGTGCCATCTACCGTGCTGTTCACCTTGAGTTGACTTCATCCTTATACAGTAATGCCTTTCTAAAAACGTTAAGAAGATTTATTGCTCGTAGAGGTCGACCTTCAATAATTTATTCCGACTGTGGAAAGAATTTCGTTGGATGTGTCAATGCTTTAGAAGACATAGATTGGTCAATAGTAGCTGAAAACTGTAGTACTGTACAAAAAATTGAATGAAGAATGAATCCTCCAACAGCTGCCTGGTGGGGTGTTTGGTTGGAGCGACTCATAAGGATGTTGAAAGATTTATTACATAAAACACTTGGAAAAACAAGCCTTGGTATGGAAGAGCTACAGACCGTACTTTGCGATTCTGAGGCCGTTTTAAATGCACGACCACTGACGTATGACGTATATGTCTGAAGATCCCAATGACTATGTTGTTCTAACACCGTCAATGTTCCTAAAAGATGTTTAAGAAGTAGGAACTGTTCCTACTTGATTTAAATGAAGCCAGTGATCTGGTTAGACGATTTAAATATCGACTGAAACTAAGAGAAAATCTGAATTCAAGTCAGAATATTTAGGTCAACTGACTCTTTTTTTCAAGAAAAATTCTAAACAGACAAGTGGGGCGTATATTTGAAATTATTCCTGGACGTGATGGAGAAGTAAGAATAGTGAAGTTGGAAACGGCTCCAGGAGAACTTTTACGGCCATTGCAGCGCATTTCACAATTGTAAATGGGAACTTCAAGGAATTTTCATATTCCCAAAAAAGATGAGTCGTTAAAGAAGCCACTCAGAGAACCTGTTGTGCAGCGGAAGACCAGATCTAGGAGAAATGTTAAAATTCCTGCAAGATACAGAGTTTAATTATGTTATTATTTTGTCATATGAATACACAAGGTGGGAGTGTGTTAGAAGCCCCCTTATTCTTTTTACATTTTTTGATATATACTATATACTACCAGACTTTTGTGATTATGTCAGGGGATGACAGTCATTATTATTGAATGATTGAAAATTTGCCACTTTGTTCTTTGTAAAATTGAGGTTTTTTTGGAAGTAGTAAGTAGCTATAGGCTCTTGCTGCAAAGGTATAGCTGCTATACTTGATAGAGGTGGACTCTGAGGATAAAAGGCATTATCAGTTTTAACACCTCTCTAGCTTGACATTTTTGAAGTTTCTTCTTCATCTGCTTAATCCAGTGGTTTTTGATATCTTCTGTATATAGTTTTGTTTTATTTACCTGTATCAATTATCATATCTTTGTCATTGTTATTTTTTGATGTTATGTATAATATTCTTGTTGATGCCTTATTCATTCAGTATATAATTACAATTTAATAAACAAGATGGATAAACTCTTGAGCCTGAACGATTCGACGCTGATCAAAACTTCCCAAAAACTGCTCAACTGGTGGACTCACTGGAAGGCAACTTTCAACAATTTCATATCATCCGTTGATAAGCTAGAAGATGATGGAAAACCAAAACTCTTGGTAAATTATGTAAGTCACCCCAATTATGAGCACATGTCCTGTTCTTCTTACTCAAAAGCGATTAAGATTTTGGATTCAATTTTCATTAAACCTAATAAAGAAACTTTTGCCAGACACTGCCTCACCTCCAGGAAGCAGCAACCTAGAGAGACAGCACTAATACATCTAAGTAATAAGACTACAACTTCAAAGCTTCAGTGCTGAAAACAGTCAAAACGAATATATTAGGAATTCTTTCATTAATGTCTTAAGCTCTTTCCAAATTCTACAACGATTTTTGAAGAATACCACTCTGAAGCTTGATGAAGCCAAAAATCAAGCACAAAAACTGAGACAAAAACATAAGTATATAAACAATCCCTAAAAATTTCAACTATTTCAAAACTTTATTGTTCTTTTTGTGTGGAATTAGTTAGGTATATTTTCAGGTACGCTTATTGGATGTTTTCACTATCTTTTTGTCCAGAGAAAGTATCCATAGCAAGATTCTGAATGTCTACAATTTTTCTGATTCCTATATAATCCATGAACGTCGCTGATTGAAAATTAAGACTTTTAAAGTCAATCTTTCCTCAAACTGTTCGAAATCTTACTCAACAATTATGTAACCCTTCACAAATGAAAACTTTGGGGTAAGTTAGCGCCAGAGCTATCAAGTAATTAAGCTACTAACTTAGCTACTTTTTTGGTAGCTAATAACTTATTCAAGCTACTTTTTAAAAAATAGTAGCTTGTAGCTGTAGCTTTTAGTAATGTGTTCCATGTATTCATAAGCTACTGTGAAAAGTAGCTAGCTACTAAAACAAGCTACTTAAGCTCAAGCTACAATTATCATTTTTTCGGAAAAAATCTTAGCCTGCCTTATTTAGACTAGTTTCAACTTATCTCTGTAAGTCTGTACCTATGTCCTATGTGTTCTGTTTTATTCTCGCATTCGCAGAGATCAAAGTGAACTTGATAAATGTCCAGTGGTTTTTGTCAAAAATATGAAAACTGCAGTTCCCAGAGAGAGTATGATGATGTAATGAAATTAAATTACGTAAGTTACATTGATGGTGGCGATTGTGTACGTTTTTTTGTTTCTATTGATTTAACTTTTAAAAAAGTAGCTTAAATAGTAGCTTTCACTAGTTCAATATGTAGTTAAGTTACCAATAGCTTAGCTATTTTTTTTAAGAGGTAGTTTAGCTACTAAGTAACTTAGCTACTTACAATATAAAGTAGCTTGTAACTTGTAGCTACCTACTTTTTTCAAGTAGCTTGCCTAGCTCTGGTTAGCCCTGAGATCCATCATAACGACCTAGCCATTCAAAATATTACGCAAAAAAATGTAAATAATTTAGACAGGAATTATTTTTGAGTCAAATTTGGGGCTAGAATCAGTTAGTGGTGAATTGAATGCGAGTCGGTCAAAAACGAAATATTGAGGATCTATTCTTGGAGGTTTGAGGTAAAATATATTAAAAATTCAAGGCATTCGAACCGCTTATAATAAAGATATGAATTTCCTAAATTAGGCCAAAATAAACATCGACAAGCCTCTATTTTGGAATTTCTAACTAAAAAGCTACCGGAGGTGCAAAAATTAAATTTTGAGGATCTATTGTTGAAGGTTTGAGGCAAAACATACTTAAAATTCGAAGTGATCGAACCGCTAATCATCAAGTTATGAATTTCCTAAATTAGACAAAAATAAACATTGATAATCCTCTATTTTGGAATTTCTAACTCAAAAACAACTAGAGGCGCAAAAATTAAAATTCGAAAATCTGTTTTTTAAGGTTTGGGGTAGAACATACTAAAAATTCAAGGCAATCGAACCTAGGCTCTTGAATTGCTTCCTAGAAATTTATCAATGACTTCAAGGGCTGGTAACAATTTGGAGTCTAAGTGATTCGTTGGATAATTTTTATAGAAGGAATCAATGTACATTATTAATCCAAATCATAATCAGTAGTCTACATTTTGATAATAAATTGCTCAGGTGAATCAAGATTGTGAAAAACCACATTTGGACTATAAGTAGGTATGTATATCATGAATGCCACTAGAAAAATTACCTCGCAGATCAAGAGCCACTAATAATTACAATTTGAACTATTCTCGGCTCCTGAATTGCTTTCTAGGAATTTCTCAATGAATTCAAGAGCCGGTATTAATCAAAATTTGGATTATAAGCAGATCTTGATTCGCTGAATAGAATTTCTAGAAGGATTCAATATCCATTAATAAACAAAATCACAATTGGACTATAAGTATGTCATGATTGCCACTAGAATCAGAGCTCTTAACTGAGATTCGATTTTATTAAAAAAATTTGATAATCTATTTTTTGTATTGAGATTTGTTAAGACCATTTATTTAAGAAGCTCTCTTACATAAGTTTCTCTTTCAAATATCTGCTTCAGACTGTCAACTGCTTGAGCATAGTTACCTTTAGTAGCCGGGTAACTCTCAACCAGCTGTCTTGCTCGAGAACTTGGAGTCGTAGCCTCCACTAAATATCGCAGCTTATCCTCATCTCTTATATCAGAATCTTCATCAATACGACTAAATTGGTTCCAAAAACTAAGCCAACTCTTGATGTCTCCTCCAAACTGTCTGAATTCAATTTTGAAAAGTTTTAATTTGGATTTAAATTCTGATTTCTGAGAGCTTGTATCTTCCTTAGACATCTTATCAAAGTTAAATTTGAAATTGTGGTATATCTAAAGTTCAACTCATCCATGAATTCTACTGCAGAATTCATACTTGCTTCCTCGTCAACTGAGTTTAACATCAATTCCAACATAAGTTGATTCAATTCGTTCAACTGAAGCATATACTACTATGTACTTCACCTAAATCGTACCTTTCTTTGGACATTTCGTCTTCTACTTTATCACAGATCCTTGCCAAAAATACCGCGAAACTTTTTGGCGTCCTCGAGATTATCTTGCCTCGGCCGCAAGCGGCCTCGGCGATAACTTTTCTACGCTGGCGTACGCTAAAAAGGCATTTCGCGGCCTTGGTATACAAATAACTATTATTTTACAAAGAACAATGTGACAAATTTTCAATCATTCAATTATAATTACTGTCATAATCACAAAAGTCTGGGTGGTATATATCAAAAAATATAAAAAGAATAAGGGGGTTTCCAACAAGAGGATAGTTCCTCTTTAATATTGTTGGTATTCGATGATGGTCAAGCTAAAAAGCCAACGCCCTCAAATTGTTGGGTGGAGTGCACCTAATAATGGGTGCGATCTAAGTCACGGTCTCGCGGCCTTGATATTTCCGCTAATAAGAATGCGACAATTTGATTCAATAGGAGTTTTTGCATCAAATTTGATTCATTTACAATAATAATAGAAACCAACTTTAGGTTTTCGAGTTTTATATTAGCATTCACTTGTATAATATACATTGATTTATATAGGTATCATTTTAAAAATAGTTACAACTAGAATTATTGCATTGCACGTTTTTTATTTTCTTGGAAATTGATATAAGGTATATTGTTCCAAATAAAATTCAATACAAATCACAATTTTGCAAGGACCTCAAAAATTATTTTGATAAAATATTTTTGGTTTGTCTATTTTATTGTGCATTGATGGAACTCTCAATATAAACGAGACGATTTTTACATCTAACATTTTTTTACATTTAGTGTAACAATTTTTCAACAAGTTTTCCTAATCGCTAACAAATGTATAACTAGGTACATTTTACAATAATATAATAGTAAATAGATTTTTACACATTTAAGAACATTTTTAGTACACATAATGAATAAATATGTATCTTGGAAGACAGATTTACATTATTTGGAAGACATTTGTTTCTATAAATCACCATCAATAATATTAATTTTTGTTTTATTACATTTTATACTAATAGAGCTAGATTCAATTACGTTGGTCTTAAATCTAATTATTTTATTTCCAGAATTGACTAGAGCTAAATGACTTAAGTTATTCTTTGTCTGCATTAGACAAAGTGTCGTTTTGTGCCTAATCAAAAACATAATTAACAAAATTAGTTGAAACAAGAAAATCTATATATTTACATTTTTATTGTCATGTTATTTTGTATCAATAATTTTTTTTCCTACTTTATGAATACTTGATACATAATTTAATTAATCAATAAAAATACACCAAACATTTAATTGTATATTATTATCAGCAGTTTTCAAAATGGAAGACTTCGTTGGCTTAAAATATGTATATAGGTTTTTCTAAAAATTTAAATTTTGTTGGACATCTATAGGCTAAACCAACCTTGTGCAACAATAACGGGTATATTTTTTATTACATATATAAATATTTAAAAAATCTTTTCAAATATTCACCTACCTATAATGAAGTTCGTTTTCCAATTCACATAACTAATTGTGAAAAGTATGCTGCTTATATGGCACCTTCTTCATGTCATCTTTTTGTTTGTAAATTAAATGGAATTAAAATGGAAGCCCAATAGAGAAAGCATCAATAAGCGCCCTACCAGAATCGAAGATCCCAATCACCCCAAATATACAACCCAAATAAATAATAAAGTAATCAAAAATAATAGTTTTCCTATCCAGCGTGTTACCTTTAAGTTTAATGTGGAAATAAGCAGGCCAAATAAAACTGAGCATAGTACCGGTAAAACTCCCAATGAAACCCATCAAAATTTGAAATTGCGGTATAAAACAGGCCATGAGAATTGTAAATAAAATAACACTCACCCTCCAGGCCAATCCCCAAACCTTAAGGTCACCGTTTTGATCCCAAATTGAAGGAAACGGTGTTTTTGGTTTGCCCCTGAAAAATGACCTTTCCAAAAGCTCACAAGCAGCATAAAACGGCAAAGGATAACTGAGCAAGGCTTTGATGACCAAACAAGTATTCACCAGTCCTTTAAACCCAGCAGAGTGTAAATTATTAGTGATAACTTGCTGGGTATCGTTTTGGAAAGTCAAAAAACAAATATAACCGAACCCTGCTTTGAAAACAGCAGCCCATACGTGACTCCAATCTAACATCCAATCGAATTTTGAAGGATCTTCCATGTTACCTTCTAGAGTCGGCAAAAAAATTTGAGAAGTGTAAGAAAACACAATCACTCCTAAGCTAATTGGGAAGTTTTTCAAATCCAAAGTCCATTTTACGTTGCCCCAACCCCATTCGCCGATATACAATAGGCAATAGCCCACGATTATTATGTTTATCAAAATGTGGGACATTGTGCACCAGAATGACAGAAGGGAGACGCTTTTCAGTGACTTCAGAAAACCTAAAATAAATAATGTAATATTTATTGATTTAATTGTTAAAGTTACCTAGGGGTAATAGAAAAATCCCGACGAGCATCATCCAAGATCTTGTATCGATTGCTCCTTCAGGAAACGAGCCGATCATTAAATCGCCGCACACCACCACGTAGAGGATGCAAGTCATCAGTAATTCGATTACTTGGGCGATACTAACTATTTTGGGACCGTAATTTTTGCCAAAACACTCTCTTGCTATGGCCACGTACGAATCTCTTACTCGTATTCGTCTGAAAATTAACAAATTATTTTAGATCAGGCAGGAAAAAAGCTTGTTCACTACACTATTCCATCCGAATTTCTTACTCATATTGTTAACTACTTAAATAAATACCACTATGTACATCAATTTTAATGAAGTGTGTCGACGAGTCAGCATTAATTTGGTATAATTACCGCACTGAGATCCATTACCGGCAGACTAAGGCTAGTGCAAAGTACCTCAATTGGGAAAAGCCCCTCTAGCTAAGTGTCCTTCTAGTGCAAACCACCTTTATTGGGAAACGACCTTCTGGGAGTATTGAACGCAGCAGACTAGGTCCAGTGCAAACTACCTTTATTGAGAAACGCCCTTCTGGACTTGTCTCAAACCCAGCTTCAATCTTCAGTCACATCAAGTGTACAGAGTGTACATAATACAGAGTGGCCTAAGTAGTACGTCCCTCCGTAGAAGAGACGCCATGGTATTATTCCTAGGGTAATATTATTCTATTTTCATTAAGACATATCTTATTGTCATAACATTTTCCTATTGTGCTGTATTGTGTAAATCGACCTTTTTTAACACCTCAACAATGACAAAAAGAGTCAAGTCAGTGTTATATTTAAACCACTGATCTAAAAAATAAATGGATAAACAATTCATACGGCTTGATTGGCAAAATTTGTGCGAAAATTTGGGGTCAATATTCTACGAACAGTTGTGCAACGGAACAGCCTAACGCCTGCGCAGTGTCTTATCTTTCGAACAACTGTTCTAAATTTTGAAATTCCTTTATTTTCATTGGCCAGATTTTGTGCACGCACAATACATGTATCTACTGCGCACGCTCACAGCTGTCCCAGTCAATTGTTTTTGTCTAGATTTTGACCTCGTAAATTAGCAGCATTAGAAACGTTCTTTGTTTATCCATTTATTTTTGAGATCAGTGATTTAAACCAATCATAACATAAAAACATGTTGCATTTACTTTTGTTCAGAGCCCCCGGATCACGAACCCACGATTCGATCGTATCGTCTATGTAATTTATATGGACGATACTATCGAATTGTGGGTTCGTGATCAGGTTTGACGTTGACAAAAACTGTCTGACCTAAGTTTTTCAAAACAGACTTTTTGTTGTTAAGCCTGACTCACACTAGGCAAATTTAAGAAATATATATCGCCTGTACCAGTTTTATGTTTGGCCAAGTGTACCTATACCAAGCGAGTTCTCTCTACCTGAACCCTACCTACACCCCCAGGTCACGCTTCTGTTGTGACGTCCCAGGACGAAACGTATAGGGGTTGTGACATATTTGGTGGAGGCGCCGGGTATCGGTCCCGGTACCTCTCGCACGCCAAGCAGAAGAAAGCTTCTCACACTATTGTTGGCTTACGAATTCACCCAATAATCCTCTGCAGACACTGGATAAGATGAAAGAAATCGCAGAGACAATAGATAGAGCGCCAAAGAAAAAAGAACATAGAGCCTCACCGGTGAACGAGACACCAGAGACACATACACCGCCAAGGAGGCATAACAGTAATTTTCAAATACGACAACATGACGTCGATTACCGAAAGGACCCAACTGTTTAAGTGGGGTAAAATAGGTCATGTAGCAGCGGTTTGCAGAAGCCCACAACAAATAGCTGATTATCGAACAAACCCAATATGTTTCAACTTTGACAAAATAGGGCATGTTGCGAAAGCATGTAGAAGTACACCCAATGAACTATAACCAAAAACTGGAATGCGAACACATATTGACGAACGTGAAGCCTAGTGCCGCTGCTGCGGAGGGGATACCTGTTCTTGTCGCACTCATTACGTTAAATGGCGGAAATTGCTTCCAACACGTATTCCAATTGATGAAATCTGTGAAGGAAAATATGACAAAGCTTTCAAAAACGTCATATGTCAGCGAGCAACAGAAAAGAACAACATTCCCCCTTGTGGCATCTGTCTTTCATGGCTTAATTTTTTTGGCAGATATGGCAATCTGTGTGCATTCCAGTTTTTGACTATAGTTCAATGAGTACACCTCAACAGTCAAGTCAGTACTATACAATCCTGTTCCTGTATGCCAGTTTATATAGTATTTATCTCTGCTGTATGCCAAAATTGTGGAAAAAGGGAACACATAGCAACAGTGTGTAGGCGCCAACCACAGAGTACCCAATACTATACGGTACGGAGCAACCGGAACAGTCCTGTATATCACAACTGTGGAAGACAAGGACATTTAGCGGAAACCTGTAGGAACCAATGGCAATACCCAAACGGCAAGGGATGGCAAAACTAGATGCCCCGATCATCTTAACCTTAGAGGAACAAAGTAAAATGAGAATTTATTATATCACGATTAAAATTAAGGAAAAAATGATGCAGGCAATAATTGACAAAGGAGCCCAGGTCACGCTCTGGTTATGACGTCCCAGGACAAAACGTATAGGGGTTGTGACATATTTAGTGGAGGCGCCGAGCATGTTTTCTGGATATTGGCAAGTTCCAGTAGAAGAAAGTTCAAAGCATTATACAGCGTTTGTCGCACAAAGGCATGGAACCTACGAGTTTACCGTATTAAGTTTTGGGTTGTGCAATGCCCCAGCAACCTTCCAAGAACTTGCGGATCAGGTCTTTTGGGACATGAAATGGAAGGAAGTGCTAATTTACCTGGATGACATCATCATATTTTCCCAAACTTTCGAAGAACACTTACAAAAGTTAAGAAAAGTTTTTCAACGATTACAAGCTTCTCCTATGCTTAAACCAAGTAAATGCGAAAATTTCCCACACCAAAAAAAGTCAAGGACATACAAAGTTTTCTTGGACTGTGCAACTTTTATAGAAAGTTTATTTACAATTTCGCGTCAATAGCCAGACCGTTGCATGAAGTAACAAAGAAAGGCATAGGCTTCAAATGGGGTATAAAGCAAGAAGAAGCATTCAACTCTCTCAAAGAAAAGCTTGTCTCTGCACCAGTACTACAGTATTTTAATTACCATGTGGAATAGGTGCAGTTCTTTTACAAGAGGACAACAAGGGAGAAGTACCTACATCCTATAGCCTATATAAGTCGAAGCCTGTCAAACAGCGAAAAGAACTATTCAATAAGCGCATCAGAGTTCCTAGGCGTAGTCTGGATCTTAGGTTATTTGAGGCACTTAATATATGGCCGACCAGTGAAAATCGTGACCGATAACCACGCGCTCTGCTGGATGGACAATATTAAGGAAAGCAACAGACGCTTATCCAGATGGGCACTAAAACTAGCCGAATTCGATTACAAAGTTGTGTATAAAAAAAGGCTCGACTCACAAGGACGCGGATTGCATGTCTCCCATCCCGGTACTGCAGCCAGAAGAGCACGAACAAGAAGACCAAGAAGAAATCCCCACATTTGCACTACAAACATCGAAAATGTCCACGCTACAAAAAACAGACTCAAGCTTAAAACAACTTAAAGCTGTAGGAAGTCTAGATGATCCAGAAATTGACATTGGTATCAGACGAAGAGAAAAAAATTTTAGGATCGAAGGAGGCCTATTATAAAAAATAAATAAAACACAGAAATGATCAGAGAAAGTATTGGTAGTGCCACAAACAATGAGAAAAGAAATTCTGTGGGAACTACATGCATGATCAACAAGCAGACATTTAGGTCTCAGCAAAACGACAAAGAGAATTAAATAGCATATTTTATTGGGATGGAATGCTCAAGCATATTGAAAAATATGAAAGGATGTCCGGATTTCCAGGCAATGAAGGGGCATCAATCTTATAGAAAAACACCAGGGCTATTACAACCAATACAAGTAGGTAGATTTTCCCAGTGCAAACTACCTTTATTGGAAAACGCCCTTCTGGGAGTATTGAACGCAGCAGACTAGGTCCAGTGCAAACAACCTATATTGGGAAACGCCCTTCTGAACCTGTCTCAAACCCAGCTTCAGTCTTCAGTCACGCCAAGTGTACAGAGTGTACATAATACAGAGTGGCCTAAGTAGTACGTCCTTCCGTCCATGGTATTATTCCTAGGGTAATATTATTCTATCTTTATCAATACATATCTTATTGTACCTATACCAAGCGAGTTTCTCTCTACCTGAACCCCACCTACCCCCCCAGGTCACGCTCCTGTTGTGACGTCCCAGGACGAAAAGTATAGAGGTTGTGTTTCGTGTGTTCGTTTGAAAATGAATAAATCATTTTTGGTGAGGAAGTAAAGAAGGGCTTATTCTTTTCACTATTCCATTCAAGTACGAATTTTTCACTCATATTGGTTTGAAAATGATTTTGGATGAGTGACTTTTTAATTTGAGCATCGCTCATCTAACTTCTCTTCTTTTTTTTCTACTAGCCGAGTGGTTTTGCCAATTTGGTAGAGTTTTGAAAATATGAAGAATATTCAGACAATAAAGTCACTAGCTGTACTTTATTCTTCTTTCGAAAATGATTATTGAAAACGTAACAGTTTCAATTCAACAGGTTATTGGCCAGTAATTGCCAGTAAAAAGCTTATTGCAGATAGAAATAAACATAAAATATCCATGATACATGATGAACCGAGGGAACGAAACAAGCTTATCAAGGACCAAGTAAGAGCTGATACCTCCAAGTATAACGAGAGGGTAATAAATGAAGTTATAGAAAGCAACAAAGGGAATAAAGTATTTAGGAAAAGAATATCGCCAGGGAAATTCGAAATAACATCATTAAAACACGAAAATGGAAATAAACTTAAGACACGAACTGAAATTCTCCAGTATTTAAAACGATTTTACGAAGATCTATACTCGACAAAAGTATCAGAGAATGTAATAGAACAGATAGAAGAGCGAAATTAACTAAGCAATACACCGAAGATCTACCACCAATAGGCAAATATGAAATTGAATCTGCACTCAAGAAAATGAAAAGTAAGTAACAAAGCATCTGGTCCAGATGATATAATAATCGAATATATCAAGCTGGGGGAGGCACAAAACTATTGTAATATCTAGAAAAACTTTTCAATGACTGCTTAGATAAAGGTGAAATACCAGGTAATTATCCTGTATAAGAAAGGAGACAAGGAAGATATTAAAAACTACAGGCCGATCTCATTGCTGTCTCATACATACAAGCTTCTGACAAGAATAATAACGAAAAGAGTTAACAAAAAGCTTGACGAATTTCAGCCAATCGAACAAGCCGGTTTTCGTGGCATGTACAGCACGATCGATCATATCCACACAGATAATAGAAAAAACACTGGAATATAATCAACAGGTCTTCCTCGCTTTTATCGACTTTCAGAAAAAATTTGATACACTTGAAAAATGGGCTTTTATAAATGCTCTAGGAAGATGCCGTATGGACAGCCGATACATACAGCTGATCAACGCTCTCTACCACGATGCAACCATGACAGTCCAAGTATTCGAGGGAACTGATCCAATCAACTCAAGAAGATACAATATCCCCTAAAATATTCACTACACTTCTGGAGGACGTCTTTAAGACTCTCTAATGGAAGGCCAGAGGTGTTAAGATAAATGGTGAAAAATTAAACAACCTTCGCTTTGCAGATGATATTGTACTTCTTGCCGAGACTATGGATGACTTGAAGACCATGCTACAGGAGTTAAACAGTGCCGCAAAAAACTATGGCCTTCGAATGAACGCAGCAAAAACAAAAATAATGTCTAACTCCAATGATGTTACAGATTTTGACCTTGAGAAGAACAGTACAATTAAAGTCGTAGACGAATACGTGTATCTTGGACAAAGAATATCGTTCGATAAGGAGAGTCAGAGAGCGGAGATATCTAGAAGAATTCAGCTTGGATGGACCTCATATGGCAAACTGAGTGATATCCTTAACTCCACATTTCCACAATATCTTAAAACATAAGTGTTTAATCAATGTGTCCTACCGACCTTAACGTACGCTACAGGAACATGGATCCTTAATGAGGGTACCATGGAATGTTTGAGGATTGCCCAAAGGAAAATGGAGAAGAAAATGCTAGGAATTCGACTACAAGATCGAAAGACAAACGAATGGATCAGACAAAAGACAAAAGTTATAGACATCGCAGAAAGGGTGGCAAGACTAAAATGGAAATGGGCTGGACATCTACTGATGATAATAGATGGACCAAAAAGACAACTGAGTGGAGGCCCAGAACAACTAAAACCAGGACGGCCAAGAACGAGGTGGAAAGATGACATCCAGAAACTGGCGGATACCCATTGGAAGAGTCAGACGATCGACAGAAGCGAATGGCGACGAATTGGAGAGGCTTATGTCCAGAGATGGACCGAAAGAAGCTGAAAATGATGATGATGAATTATATCAAAAGGATTTAATGGATTTTAAGGCTCAAATTAAAAACCTTCAAGGTGCTTTAAGAAGTGAAAGCAGAAAATCACTTTCTCAGACGCCATTCATGGGGAAGCACAACACTCGATCACAAAACAATCGAATAATCGAGTCCTATAATTTTGTGAATGACATTTCAATCGATTTGTAAATTTTTATCGAGTGATCAAGTTTCGTGCTCCCCCAGCAAAATATATGGGTGAGAAACAGACTTCTGTTCCTTTAGAAGCCCTAACAGGAATACTTTTATGAGACATTAAAAACATCAATGTCAAGAATTAGGAGTTTTCAATTGGTCGAGCAATAGTCAGAAGGTGTCAGAAGTGTTCTGATCACGATGTCTGAAGTTGCAAAACTTGATTGAAAATCTCGGATGCCAAACTTGGGCTTTGTACTCTTCAAAAAGCAGACAAACTAAGGACACCCTCTTAGATAAACTGGCACATTTTGCAGGTAAATATCTTGAAAACGAGAAAAGATGACGGGATGCGGTTTTCAATGAAACATCCTGTAAACAGAACAAACCGCGATTGGATATCATGCTCAAAAATGGAATTATGAATTTTTTTTTCATTCAAATGCAAAAAAATCATACAAAATTTCTATTAAATCACCTTTGGAAACTTCTCAAAAATATTTTAAGCAATCAGAGGAACTTCAAACTTTCAGGATTTATTGAGTACGGTCTTTTCATCAAACAAAACAAACTACGAGTGGATCTCCAGGCTTAGATGTGGCTCAGAAACATTACTTCGTTGCAACGATAGCAAATCCTTAGCCGAGAGCTACATTCGCTCAAATATCTTCTATTTATTGATAATTTAAACGTGCAACTAACTTAAAATATTACCTTCCAGTTTGCAAATCAATCTCGTACAGACAATCTACTAAAATTTTGCCGGTGTAGCAACAAATCTGCGCTACAAATATCATGGCGGCGATGGCCCAATACCCTCCTATTTCTACAGCAAACGGAAGAGACACAATAAACATTCCCTGAAAAAATAGACAATAGACATTGCTAACTATCGATTTAACAAATTCTTCACTTGAATAGCATTGGTAACGTTCCAGGCAGCTTGATATTCGCTAATTTTCACGTCGCTCTTGCCTTCGACAAAATCACTATTCTCCGAAAAATCCACTGATGACATTCTGCTATGTTGCTTTACCATCATACCTTCTTGGTTGTTAGTAAAATTACTTTCCTACAACCAAAAACATTTTATTAAAAATTAGACTTTTTATAAAAGACAGTATACCTGTTGAAAACCATCACTATCCATTTGATTTTGCAAAAAGGGGTTGCTGGGATTGGTTGTTGTACCAAATGGGTTGGTGCTAGATTGCATGTTTGCCATTTCGTGATGCTCGTGGTTGATACCACCGTGCGATGTATGATTTTGAGTGGGCAATTGGGCAAAGTGAACCTAACAAACAAAAATCAATTACAATTCAATTTTTATGAAAATCGTGTATACTTGCCCTTTCTCCTTGACGTCCATGGCCCTCGGTAGTCGGAGCCTGTTGCGACGAAGGAATAATTTGTCGTTTGATTTGGTTAGCAACATTAACGGCGGCACTTAACGGCGGCAATTTGAAACTGCCGAAACGATTCATGATTTTATATTATCGAAAAAAAAAAATAACCAAAATCAATATCTCGTTGTATTCCAAAAAAACGCTCTATTGCTACCTCCAAGCAACCCCTTTTACAGCTCGAAACACTATACGCACCAATTTAACTGAAACAATAGTATTTTAACAAGGAAATATTGGGAAAATAGGCGGAAATTCAAACCTGGATTTTCATCTTGCCAAGATGGTCGATGCTGGATGCTGACAAAGCCTGTTTTTACGCTTGTGCGGTACAGGGATGGAATTAGGGGAATAATCGATTTCGTTTGAGGCAGCCGCGTGGTGGAACGCGAACAAGTTGGTTTTTGAGGGATGATGTCGGTTTGATGAGGACTCAAATAGAATAATCGCTTTTTCCATTTCAATGGAGCAAAGTTGATTATATCCTCTCACAAAATGCCGTTAAGCAATTTACTTTATGGAGTTTGGACGGTCCCATTTGATCAATCAAATTTAATCATTTTAGTACTACCCTATGACTTGAGTTTTCAGAAAACTTTGAAAAGTCACGTCTCAAATTTAATTATAGATAGAATGCTGAAATTTTCAGCGTTTCTTATCCTAGTAGAGGACTACAATGGCATCTCCCAATAAGGTGTCATTAACTCAATTCAATCTAAAAGTAGAGAAACACATGAAGATCCTATTTCCGCTGCTGTGAGAGTATACAAATGTTATTTCTGTGGAAGTACCAAAAGACATTTTAGCACGTTATGGTCTGCTAGAGATTCAACGTGTGATGAATGCGGTGAACCTGGAAATTTCTCCAAGGTATGTCTAAGCAAAAGAAAAGTCAAAGTTTCTACCCCTAATACCTGCTTCTGGGCTTCAATGTGCGGCACCTGGAAGTTTAACTAAATGCCTTGTTAAAATTAAATTAAACAATGTCGTTGCTGATGCTTTACTAGATACAGGAAGCTCTGAAAAATACATTGATACAAATTTTGCGTTGTTTATCAATGTACCTATACATTCAAGCACTGGATATATACTAATGGCCTCAACATCTTTACAGTGTCAAATATCAGATCATTGCTTCGTAGATTTAGGAATGATGGAACATAAATACAGAAAAATATGTCTATCAGTTCTTTCTGATTTATGCTGATGTCATTATAGGTCATGATATACTTAGACAGCATTCAACCCTTGAAGAATCTTTTGGAAATTCTTTCTGAGTCTTCCTTGTGTATTGACAACTCCTCATCGATTTGTATTTTGGCGTTCCTAAAAAATGAACCTGCTATATTATTTTCAAATCTATCAGCAGATTGTTGGCCAATTGAAACAAAGTCGAGACATTTCAAATCATAGAAAAAAAGAACTCTCCTTGTCGGACACAGGTGTTAATAACTAAAAATTAAACGCACAAGAAATGGAACCATTAACAGGTTTACATATTTAGATGCTTATATCCTCGGCCGAATATTTAAGATGTTCGGGCACGTTGTTAGTTCGTACAGTAGCAAAATTTGAGATGCTTAGTACTTTTTTTTTCTCATTCTTCCTCCAGTCCAGGATAGTCTTTCCGGAACTACTTCAGGAGGAGCTGCGGAATTTCGATTCATTTGTGTCTGTATTCGTTGTCTTCCGTGTCGCGTCAGTAGTTGTGTCATATAGTGTTCCGTATCGCCGTGTCGCCTGTTTATCCACTTTGAAATGTTTGGGATGAATCTGTACGTCCACCTTCCTTTTCCGCTATTTGTCCATCTGTTTTGCCATGTTGTATGTACCAGTTTCTCAGATAGTAGGCGAGCAACTGTTCTGTCTACAAACGGCGCTTCGTATAGTTGAAACGTTTGAGTTACCAGGTAGATTGGTGGTGTTTCAGGTTTCAGATATCACCAGGGATGTTGTGCATAAGTCCTTAGAGCTGTTTGTCTCTATATGTTTTCTAGTATGCCTCGGTATTTCTTGTGCCGTATGCCGTCCCCTTTTACTGGGGCCGCATATAACAAAATAGAGTTTGCAACGGAGCACAGTAAGCTCCTTTTATCAGGCTCTGGGCATGGTTATTGCAAATGCTGTCATAGTGTTTCCCGCTCGGGTCATAGTCCTTTGGATATGGGGAATAAAGGATAGTTTATTGTCCAGCCAGCCTCTCAGGTCGTTGATCTTTGATGTCCAGTTATAACCATAGCCACGTCGTCCGCGTATCCTCCTTTCTGCATCTTTAGGTTCAGCAGTACGTCGTACCTGATGTTCCACAGCCTTGGGCCCAGAACGGATCCTTGTGAGACGCCACAAGACGTATCAAAGGATTCAGGATTCTTGCTCACCTTCCGCTTCTACGATGATGGATTTGTCCGTGAGGTAGCTCTTTATAAGGTTTATTAGGTAGGAGGCAGTATCTCTCTTTGCAAGTTCCTCATCTATAATGATCTGCCACGATGCCGAGTTAGAGGGTGACGATTGCTCCTATGCCTGCTCCTATGGCTATTTTTATAGATGTTTTCTATGACGATTTCTAGTTCTTTCTGAATTGCTGTGATGGTGGACTTTCCTTTCCGTAGGTTTTCCGAGAGTCTTGATAATATTAGATGTTCTTAGAAGTTTACTTATAATTGTGTTTAGGAGGCACAGTATGGTCTGTGTTTCTGAGCGTCACCTGCTGTTTTTCTCGGTTTCTCTATTAGCACGAGTTTCGATATTTTCCACGGGGAGGGAATTTCTCCTTGCCTTATTATGTCATTGAAGGTTTTGAGGAAAGGTGCTGGATATCTTTCTGTGATCAGCTGTAGGATGTTAGCTAGTATGCCGTGTTTGGTTTCAGCTTGTGGGCTTTAAGTGTTAGTTCCTTTTTGGATATTGTGAGAATTTCTATGTCTCTTAGTACTACTTTTTCCCAGGTAGTAATTGGCCTGATTGGGTATAGTTCTCCAGCTATTTGCAGGTTTTTTCCATTATTAGGACCTTCTCGTGGCTATTCTTGCGTTGCATGGGATTGACTGTTTTCGCGGTAGGCGTGGCTTGTAACGGGTATCGCCGAAACATATAAAAACGGCCGTTTTCAGGCTAAGAGCAGTCAGTTCTCTCCAGACAGCGACTGAGACTTCATTTCTTCTGTCTGCCCCGTTCTCTGCGCCAGAGACAAGAAGAGCTCTTCTTTCATTTGTTCGACAGAAGTGTGGTGACATGTACCCAGCACTTTAGGATCGCGTAATAGGCTGACAACGCTTTGTAGTGGGTCCCCTTGCTATCGGGATCACTTTTAGGTGGCCAGCAGACGAGCCTTGCATTGCGTTGTTGGTGCGAGCTGCCTTTTCAGGCACGAAGAAAGAAAAGAGAGAGTCAACGTTTAATCCCTCGGGCGCGAAGTGAGGCTTCCGGAAAAGCCCAGTTCGTTGCAAGGAAACCCGCATCAATTCTCGCACTGGAGGTTGGTGTTCTGGGGAAGTACTTCGCATTGACATAAAACAAATCCCCGACTAAGTCCTTTTCAGGGCAATTGTCTGGAAGAAAAAGAAAATTCGTTTGATTTCTGGTTCTTAATTGAGCCTCGCATTTCAAATTCGGCACATTCGTGCAGCTTTCTGTCTAGTGAATCTAAACTCCTCCCCCGCGATTGTCACCTTTTATTTTGGAAGTCTTCTTCAAAGGTTTCCGCCCCCCGTGTCCGACCCCGACGATTTTTGGGAAATTTTTATGAAAATTCTCTTCCCTTCTGCAAGCCTCACATCGAATTGAAACTCTGAAATCAAATATAATAATTTTCTTCTTCCGAAGGCTCACCAAGTTGGGACAGAGTTTGTTAACAGACTAGAACGTCTAAACTAATCCAAGCTTGAATTTTTCTTGAGGCTTTTTTAGGAAAAACCTCAATTTCAGTTTTCTTAAAGCAACATTAGCTTCGCCAAGTTGGGACAGAATTTATTGACAGACCGAAGCGTCTTAACTACCCCCAGCTTGATTTTTTCTTGAGACTTTTTAGGGAAAAATCTGAATTTCAAAACAAAGACAAAAGCAAGATTTAGCGCCGAGTTAGAACAGAGTTTTATAAGAAGTCATAGAAGTCGAAACTACCTCTAGCTCGAATTTTTTGTAGGGTTTTTAGAAAAAACCTCATTTTCACTACAGTACAGACGCGACTTTGACAAAAACACACGAACCTTCAGAGGTTAGACTGGTTTTCGGACTTGGTGCACCGTTTCTGTTCCCCTGTGTTTTTATTTGTCATTTAACTACTTGAAGCCGCTCGACGGTTTCCTCGCAGAGTTTTATCTGAGTTCAACGTACTGTCGTTGTAAATAAAACGTTTCCAGACACCTGGCCCCTCGGACTTCAAAAAACCAAGTTGGAGCCCTGCTCCCAAATCATTGAAACTACGTGAATTCTCACATCCTTTTCTGGAGGCTGCTGGCTCGCAAGCTTTTCCTTAAAGAGCCAGCGGGGTGGTTTTGGCGGGATCTCCTCTCAGTACAACTGAGAAGTTGTACAAACAACTGTGGGAAACCAAAAGGGTTGTTGTTTCACCCTAAAAACAACTGGCATCCCAAACTGACTTCGGACATCGACAAAATGACGGACAGATACAGTCCAGACTTGTACGGCGCCACTCTAGAAGAGTTGGACACGATTCTAAGTCAAGGGCCAATTCCTGCGGCCGTATCCGAGTCAGATTTTAAGGAGCCTGAAGTCCTGTTCGCCGCAACAAGCCTGAATCCGCCCGACCCAGGGGAGCTTGATTTTCTACGCTCGCTTTTTGCAGAACTTGAAGAATATAGAAGGCAAAAAGACGCCGAAGCTAAGAAAAGCTTATTGCGCGACACTATCATATAGTTCCCTCCCCAGCAATCTTCACCATCAACGAGAAGAAAAATTTCTTACTCCCTGAAATCAATCAAATTTCTTGGATATCTGATCAAAAATAATGCCTTGAAACCTGATCCAATTAGACTTGAACCTTTGCGAAAATTACCTGTACCTGCAGACTCTCAGACTCTAAAAAGAGCTATTGGGATATTCGGCCATTATTCAAAGTGAATACCTTGCTTTTCAAAGAGAATTCATCGACTTGTTTCTTGTAAATCTTTTCCGTTGTCAGAAATCTGTGTAAACGATTTCGAGAAGCTCAAATTAGATATTGTAAAATCAGCTGTTACTTCATTCGAAGATAAAATTCCATTTGTGGTTGGGACTGATGTTTTAGAACATTCCATCGTTGCCACTTTGAATCAAGCAGGAAGGCCAGTTGCATTTTTTTCCATTCATCAGTTGGAAAAGAAGCTTACTCCATGGCCAAGGCGATTAAAAAATGGAGACATTCTCTGATTGGTCGTCATCTTCAGCTGATTACTGATCAAAAATCTCCGTCTTTTATGTTTAATACCAAACACAGTAGCAAAATGAAAAATGAGAAAATTTTATATTAGAACTATCATGTTACAACTATGATATACTATCCTATATTACCAGGACGAGAAAACGTAACAGCAAGTTTCAATCTACATCAGACTTTTATGTCATCCTGGAATCACTAGAATGG